TTGTGTATCCAAAATGAAAATGATTTTCTTAAAATGTAATATAAAGCTAATCTATTATACAGATAGCGCAAAATGAAGATCTAAACTAAAAGAAATCTAAAGGAAGATAACCCAATCAAAATTGTTACAGTTTAATTTCAAAATATAATTTCAAGATAGATATAATATTCAATTTATTAACAAGATTTATTCTATAAGAGAGATTCCTTAGAATTCTCTTAAAACTAAAATTTACTTAAATACAAATTGAAAACTAAACTCATAGAACTCAAACTAAATTAAATAACTAACTATTTTTCTAATAATTATCTGTTAACTGTCTAATTAACTGTCTGTCTAAATTTACTAGTTAAGATATATCACTTTTATATATTTTAAAGATTATACAAATTATACTTTTGTTATGATACTTATGCTAGTTTTGTTATAATCTAAATATTACTTTAGCTAGTATTATAATGTTGATTTTGTTATGATAATATTATTAGTTTTGCTATGATAATTTTGTCATGATCATTATGCTTGCAAAACCTTCTAAAAATATTTACAAATAATATTCTCTAAAGCTAATATCCAATAAGATATAAGTAATTATTTATCTAATCATATTGTAATATGAAGTAACTAATAATAAAATTAACTAATATTCTACTAAAAATTCATATCATAATAATATATATATTTTATTAATTATAATTAATAAATAACTTAAATATTTTATTCTTTTTAATTATTATTTTATATATATAATTAGTAATAAAAAAACTTAACTTTTTAAATTTAATAAAAAATTATTTAAAAAATATAAAATTTATATATAATAATCATTAAAAATAATACAATACTTAAATTTTTTATTAATTATAATTAATAAAATATATATTTTTTCTTATATATAAAAGTTTTTAATTTTACTAACAAATATTAGCTCAAAAAATAACTAAAATTCTCTAGTTTAATATATATTTTTTTGAATTTTTCAGATTTTTTATCAGCAACTTGTTTTAATTGTATATAAAGTTAATTAATTTTTACTAATTATTAATTAATAAAAATTAATTGACTTCATATATAATTAGAATAAGTCTCTAATAAAAAATCTGAAAAAAATATATGTTAAACTAAAGAACTTTAGCTATTTTTTGAGCTAAAAATAAAAAATATTTGTTAATAAAATTAAAAACTTTTATATGTAAGAAAAAATATATATTTTATTAATTATAATTAATAAAAATTTTAAGTGTTATATTATTTTAGTTTTTTTTAATTAATTTTTAAGTTAAAAAAATTAGGTTTAAAAAATAATTAAAAATTTTATTATGAAATTTATTAATTAAAATTTAATGATAATATTATATAAAAAAGATTTTAGTTATATTTTCTATATTATATAATAAAAAATAATAAAATTTTTTATTAAAATTTTTTTAAAAATTTATAAGAGATATGGTACGAATAGTCTAAAGATATCAAGTACTATATCACCACTGAAATTTGGAATGCATATATTACGATATAATTATGTGATAGACATGTCATGTCAGAAAATATATCAGAAGCAATTTTGAGCTCTTAAAAGTTATTTAAGAGACTTTTAAATATTATTTAGAAGACTTATATTAAAGACTCGTAAGATAAGTTATTTCTCTCTTTTACTATATAAAAAGACTTGTTCAGAAGATAATATTTTCTTTACTACATAATTATAAAATAATAAATAAACCTCTTTCTTATGTTATTACCTTTCTTTTCTATGATATAAGTCTTTTTTACTATATTATTAATCCCTCTTAAGCTGTTTTAAGACATATTTTCTCTTTCTCATGCCTAAATAAAGTAAATGTACTAGATATTACTTAATGGCTACCAAAAAGTACTGGAATGATATTAAATTGAAATGGGAGAAGAAAGTATCAGATGCCGATAAATCAAACAATAATGCTATTTAGATGGAAAGTGAAAATGAGCCTTTAAATGATGACCAATTCATAGAAGAGTTAGAAGAATTGAAATAAAGTGTGCTAGAGGAACTTATCAAGAATGCAAGATAATTAAACATATAAATAATAAAGGAACGGAAGTCAGTTTACAAAGGTTTTGCTAAATCAACATTGCACAATAAAAGAGTGACCTTAAGAAAGACAGCTTTTGGTTCCAACAAAATCACTAACTGATTTTCTATTGAGATAACTAATCTCAGTAATGACAAGTTTCTGTTTGAGAAGATAGTTAATTCCAGTAATGACGAGTTTCTGTTTGAGAAAATAGTTAATTCTAGTGATGATGAAAATACATTTACTTTGGTATTTCTTAACACTCTGCTAAAGAAAAAGTCTGACATGTGACTTGGTATAGTAAGCTAATTTCTCCATCTCATTCAAGATCAAGAATTCTCTAAACTATTAACTAGTAATTTTCTTGCTCACAATGTTAATCAGGATCCATGATATGGGCAGGTTATTTGTTTATAGGCTAATCAATGGTCAAGTAAAGATAAAATCCTCACATCACATCATGATCATCACTCAAAAACTATATTACTCCTATTTAATGAAGTTTTTAAGATACATATCATTAAATATTTGTATATGAATAAGTTCATAGTAATCATCTACGAATTTATCAAGTTTATTGAGAATGAGGCTCTATCCAATCTTGAGATTGAGACAAAAAGAAAAATTAGTAAAACAATAGCTCAGGAGTGGCTATATCAACTTGGCTAGGATTATAAGAACTATTCAAAAAACATTTACTTTGATGGCCATGAGTGTGATGATGTGATGGCTTATCAAAATCAATTCTTAGAATAAATAATGAATTTATGACCTCAGATTATAGTATATAAGAGAGAGAATATGGATCAAATTATCTTGCTAATACTTCTACCTAATATTCTTGAGCTCATTCTGGTTACTCATAATGAATCAATTTTTTATGTCAATAATGGTATTATCAAGATCTGGGGTCTAACAAAAGAAAACTAGCTTTGACGCAAGTCACAAGGTCTTAATATTCATGTGAATTATTTTATTTATGAATCAATTAGACATCTTCACCTTTTAATCAAGAATCAAGCTGTGAATAACTTGCTTCCTAATGATAATTAACTTTTGTATACTGAGACCTGTGTTATTATACATCCAGATTCTAATCAAGACAGCTGGTGGACAAATCAAGATCTTATAAAGTAAGTGGTTGACAGAGCTATTCCAATTTTTGAGAGAACATATCCTGGTAAAGTTGCATTCTTCATGTTCGATAATAATTATAATCATAGTGTATATGCTGATGATGCTCTGGTCATTTCATGAATGAATTTGAAGGATGATGACAAACAATCACTTCTTCATGATGGTAAGATACCTGATAATTCTTGTCATATTCTGATATTTATTGATGCTAATGGTGGAATCAAATCAAAGAGTATTCAATGAATTCTCAAAAAGCATGATCTGTGGGTAGAAGATTTGATGAAGAAATATGACGCTTGCAAATCACATATTTTTGATCTAATAAAACTGCAATATTATGTAATTGATATTCTTAATTAATAGTCTAATTTTGCATCTCAACAGAACTATCTGTAGGAGGTCATTGAAACAGCTGGTCATATGTGTATTTTTTACCTAAAGTTTCATTGTGAGCTCAATTTTATTGAATCATTTTGGGGGAGACAAAGCAGTACTTGCATCTGCATTGTGATTACTCTTTCAAGAATCTCAAGAAAATCATTCCACAGGTATTAGAATTAGTTACTCTGATCAAGATTCGTCATTATGCATATTGATCCACTCGATATATGAGCACTTATGAACAAGATCTTTTAGGTAAAGCTACTGTTTTTACCATGAAAAAGTATAGATTATATCATAGAGTTCCTGATAGTATTTTGAAAGAGTTTAGCTATATAAAATAATCAAGCTAGTTTGACTATTTGATTAGTTTAGCAAAGAAGAGTTTGAGGAGTTTAATATCTCTTTAAATAAAAAATGGTTAATGATTTTAAATAAATTAATAATTTTTAAATAAATTAATGATATCATCAAGCATACTTCTTGTTCATTATATTATAAAAATCAATCATTTGGTACTAAATAAACAAAAAGAATTAGCCAACGGATTAATTAAAGCTTGAGAAAGTCTAAAAGTTATTTCAAATTTAGAAAGATTTGATATGATAATCATCTTATTCACGTGATAATATATGAGCTCTGTCCAATCAGAAAAAAATCTCCAGTGCTGAAAATTTCTCTAATTTCATATTAGATTCTATTAGAAATGACCGAAAAAAAATTCTAACTACTTAATAAATTACTAATATATTTTATAAAAAAAATGCATTGCTTTATAGATTTTATCCAAGGCTATCTAGCAATGCATTTATTTTTGTGATTACATGTTTATATGTAGAGTCTTTGCAATTTAAAATACTTGATGACTTTAGGTCATTCACACCATATTACTAAGATTTTTATTAAATTATATTATTTTTTATTCTTAAATATTAAAAAATATTTTTTATTATTTAAGTAAAAATTATTTTTTTTATTAATTTTATTTAATTTCAAAAAATAATTAAGTTTTTTTTATCACTTATTATATATATATACATTAATAAGTTATAATACTATAATATAAATTTTATAAATTGTAATTCTTATTATTAAATAAATTTCATTAACAGAAACAAAAAGAACAGATTTGTTAGATATTATATAAGCATTATTCTCTTCACATGACTAGGTTAATATCATCACAGATTCTCAAGAGGCTTGACAAAGCAGCTGAAAATAAATATTCTATATTTGATAAACTAATGTAAATCAAACCCAAAGAAAGAAATTGTTTTCAATTTTAAATGCAGAGATTTATAGTTATCTCACCCGATCAATATGATCTAATCTGGGTTTATTCACGGGAATGACAAAATTAGCAATTATAAATTGGATATCTGTATATAGTTATATAGTCCACCTTTTCGATTTTCGAGTTTTTCAGTCATGACCTCGGATTATAGAGTAAGAGAAATAGTTTGATAAAAAGTCATTTATATTTATGTAAACTAATCCTCAATTAAATTTGCTATACTCACAGATAAATTATGCTCTGCGAGCACACAAACGTGACCCGTTCATTGAGTGGATAAAGGTTTAATAAAGCACCTTTTCTGAATACGCAAATTCTGTATCTTTTTCAATAATATTAATACACACGAAAAAATTATGATGGATATAGGCTATGTTAATGACACCATTTGTATTACACGCTAAGCCAATACATCCAACGGATGATGATCCGAATGAAGAACCATACCTAATGGATGCTAATGTAACGAGGTATTGTGAAATCCTGGAAAGTATTGAAGAGTTGATTAATGTAAGTCACAAAATATATATGGGTATTTAATTGATCGAATCTAAATAAGTAGTAATCTTAATATTTCAGGAACATATTTCAAAAACAAAAAAAGGTAAATTATCATTGATCTGCCAATTTTCGTTATCATTAAATGTTAACAATCTCACTACAACGACAAGGTCTCCCTGATCATTCGCGATTATCCAGACTTGTCCCATCTGTTTCAACATTTCATACTACATTACCACTGAAAGAATCATTTCTTTTAGCTAATGCTAAACATTCAATTGCTGCACGTCGATTTGTGCCTCCAAGTTTTAATGATATTCGAAGGTGTGCATGTGTGTATATATGATGTATATATCGTTTATGGAGATTTATTAAAAATTTTGTGTTTTAACGCGTTCATTCCTTGAATATATTAAAGAGTTTTGAATACAGCACAGGTGAGCAAGTTAACAGAGAATAATGTCAATGTGAATTTCTTTTAAATTATTATTTTTATCAAATCACGCGTTTTACTTTGCCATAGATTATTGCCATTGCACCTGAACTGAAATTGATCAGCTTGTAAGAATTATGATATTGTCACATATATAGAACCTCATTAATTATTCATCTGTTGGTATAGCGATGGTGATATGACTTTATATCACGATGGTGCAGATTTTGATCAAGACTCGGATCTGGTCAATCTACTTGTTCGTCTACTAAAATTCGATATATATGTATGTGTGGTGACGGCTGCTGGATATCACTCGGATGCAGAACGGTACGAACAACGGCTCTCGGGGTTACTTAAAGGTTTTGAAAGAGCAAATTTACCAAAGGAGGTTGTGGAACGATTTTTCCTTTTAGGTTAGTAATTGAATAATCAGAATTTTAGGTATGCAAATTTGTATCGATTTATTATTTGTGTTTAACAATATTAATCTCAAGATATTCGCGTATTATTAATTATGCTTTATTTATTAGCTATTGAAATTGAATTTCTTCGTTTTGCATTTATTTTGTTTAGGAGGAGAATGTAATTTCTTGTTTCAATGTCAAGAAAATTATCATTTAAAGTATATACCAGAACAGCAAGTATTATAATAAATTTAGTCTATTTGATAGAAACTAACCTATAGTTTTTTCTCTAATCACTAACCAATCATTGTTGTTACTTCAAAAAAGCATTTATCAACCTGAATCCGTTCGCAAATGGACATCAGACCAAATTAGCAAGGTATTAGATGTGGCTGAGGAGAATCTCCAGGCATGTGTTAACGAGATGCGTCTTCCGTGCACAGTACTACGGAAGAGCAAAGCTGTCGGTAAGCATCATTGTTGATTTTATTTGTATCTAAAGTAAATACTAACATCAATTACTATAAATATCAGGAATTGTGCCAAAGCCAAAAGTGAAAATCTTTCGTGAACAACTGGTGGGTAAATATATAAATATATAACAATTTTTCGGTTATTAACGAACTTCATTGTATTCAATTCATGTATTTAATTGCAGGATGAATGCGCACTCTCTACCCAACATCGTCTCGTATCATTCATGAAATCGCCGAAAGGCAAAGAATTTCAATTACCTTTTTGCGCGTTTAACGGCGGGAGCGACGTTTGGGTAGACATGTAAGAAAACATCAAAAAAGTTTTTTCTGTTTCTCACATTTTCAAGTGTGAATGTGAAAACAACTTTACATATCTTTAAAAACCTGCTTATTCACCAATGTATAATATTAGTGGGAATAAGTTGATCGGTGTACAAATTCTTCAAGAATTTTTGGGAGCTAAGTCTCATGAGACGTTACATGTTGGAGATCAGGTATAATTTACATTTGTCATATGAATCAAGTATAATATGATTTCTTAAAACTTTTGTATTTGATAATAAATAAATAGTTCCTATCTACCGGCAATGACTTTGCCACACGAAGCCAATGCTGTACACTCTGGATTGTAAATCCGGAGGAGACTCAGCAGGTTCTTGTGGAACTGGACTCACTATTGAACATTAAAAAGTCGATTTTTGAGGCGAATAGTAAGGTGGCTTGATGTCACTTGTATTAATTAAATTGCGTATATCCATGATACTCTTGTAATCATGGTAGTAGAAACGTTTAGGAGAAGCTTATTTATTATCATTATATTTCACGATTTTTCTGTTTGAGACGCAGGAATTATTAATAAAACTTATTCAAAGAATAATATTAGTATCAAAGTTTTTTTTATTTCGAAAGATTTTTAAAACGAAATTTATATTGAAAAAAATTTAACTACGAGAATCTAGAATATAATTTGATAATCTCACTATTAGTGTTCGTCTTTTTAAACTTCTTGGAATTTGATTATTCTGATTATTGGGCCTGGCCGAATACGAAAAAAAGTGTCTATCGCGATTTGATTGGTTTACCCTTAAAAAACAGTAATTATGGTGAGACAATTTTACTTAAAATCTATATACTTTTTAATTATGTGAGTTATCAACCTATCTTCTCGTAATTTTTATAACTTTCAATTGGAATACAGTATCATTTCAGGATTTCAGCAAATAATAAATTCTATCTGTATTATTGCAAAGTTTCCAAACAATAGAAAGAAAATGAATTTATTCATAATTTTTTGTTGCTTTCTCACAATTATTAGTGTCAAAATGATCTAGGCAAACATCTATGTTAACATATTAATGGATAAAATTCTGTTCTATTATTTAAGGAATTAAATGAACTAAACCTCTGGAACTTTGAAGTAGAATTTTGTTTCTTGATGTATATATGTTTTAGATATATATAATTTATTCTCTTCTGATACTTTAACTTATGTTATTATCACTGTCATAATGACAGCAACAATAAAAAGTAGCAATAATAAAGAGAAACAGGAGCACAAAAGGATCCAAAAATGTGGTCAGAAATAAATCAATCACCCGCAACTGGAAAAAATCCAAACAATAACTAAAACGAAAAAAATAGTGAAAAGTAGTGCAAACAACGGTGATGATGATAAGATGATAATAATCTGATAGCGATCAAGAAAAGGCGCAAGAGATAACACAATTATCACATTGTCGTCATCATCGTTATTTTTAACAACTAAACAACCCATTCATCATCATCATCATCTTCACCACACGACCCTATCATATAATAATCATCATGGGCCCCAAGGTTTTTCTTTGACGATAATAAAGCCGTGGGGATGGAATCACCACCGTTATCATCATCATCATCACCACCACCACCAGAGCCAGTTGTAGCATCTTCATCACGTGTTTCAGACCCTTCCACTCGTCGTACATAACATACTCGAGCCACTTGATCTTTTGAGAAGGGTAACGAGTACTTTAATATTCCGCGAACAGTCAATTGGAATCCTTGACGAAGTAAATAAGACCTATAATATATGAATAAGAGCCATGTTTAATATCACGAATCTTATGAGATCTGACCGAATACATATTCAAGATATGTCAATTATTACTAACCAGTTTTCTTGTGCTTCCTGATCATCTTTACCACCCGGGTTCCTTAAGGTGACTTGGGCAGTAGCTACTTGTACCACGCCAGTACGATTAGTGCTTGCCTGGAATACCAGCGGCTCATCAAAATTAAGTATTTGTCCTAACTCGCTTGGTGCCGACTCGGTTAACGACTGGGGTGATGCAGAAGATCTCGATAACATGACTTTATTTTTTCTTTTTGTTCTATAATTACTTTTATTACTCGTGGAGTCCTCAATAGGATTTTTAATTTTATTATTTGATGTGGAAGTAATAGTTGAAAGAGTACTATTGTCTTTATTTATATGAGTATCGTCGTTGTCGTCGTCGTCGTCGTCGTCATCATCATCATCATCATCAGGTTGCTGTTCCGGGAATCCATCGATTCGAAGAGGCTTTGCAAAAACCTTAATATCCGCGTCCATAATTTTCACGTCCCAGATATCGAGGTTCCGTGCTCTTACATACATATCAAACATCAGTTCCTTGTCTGCAGCAAGTACATTGGCAATATCGATGATTGCAACCTCGGTCAATGGTTGTGATGAAGCAAAATATATTAGGTAACAAAAGGCGACGATCGAAAATATTAGAAAGGTTGTTAAAGAGAAGGTTGTCGATGTGCAACAAGTCCTAATTAATAAAATATTTCAAGTCAATTAATTTTATTATTATCTCGGCGACAAATTTTAATAATTCATTATAAGAATGATTGATGACCGCAAACCTTCTCTGATCTTCGTAAGGTGGCCTCCACTTAGCAAACAATGGTAACCGTTCATCATCTCCCACACCATACCAATCATGATAAAACGGATCATTATAGTAATAACCGGTTGCCCCATAATTCGGATGTCCTTTCGAATATTGTGACATATCGGGTAAAGAAGCACGCATCACACCAGTTGGTTTATGTGTGGGAGAAAGTAGATTATTTGGTGTGGTCCCTTTTCTATTACTACCATCATCTGTGTCTGAGCCAGGCGTGCTACCATTACTATAAAATACACCACCGCCATAGAAAGGTCCTTGGTGATGATGAGGATGAGAAGAGGAATACGTGGGATAAGGACTGCCACGCCTTGAATTTGGCAATGATGCAGGCACATATAAGCCTGGATATTGATAATGAGCATGATGGTTTGGTGGATATCCGTAATTATTATGATCTGGTGGCATGTGTGGATATGTGAAGGTTGGTGGTGGTGGTTGCTGATTTATTCCATTACCATTAGGTGCAGCCGCATTACCAACACCACCACCACTGTTAGTACTTGTTAATGATGGTGTACGGGTATGTCCTCTGTCCCCGTATATAAAGTCTTCATCTTCATCCGGTTCGGCTATTTGTTTCACACAAGTTCCATAGTTTCAATTCGAGAATAATTTAAATGAATCGGATCAAATCAGAATAGAAATATGATGTTAAATGCCCAAACAAAAAAAAATAAGTACCTTCAGCAGCATCAACAGCACTAGCTACATTAGCGGCAAATATCTCCGCGCGTGACATTCCTTTTGGCATAGGTTATTTAATTACCACGCGCGAGACGTGAAATAAAAAAAATTCGTTAGCTTAGGTGAAAATAAAGTACTCGGGATTTAATTAGAAAAGAAAAGCACACCTTCAGTTATATTTGGCGTCCGCTTTTTCTTTTTGGGCTTTTGCATTGTCTCGGTTGATTTCGCTGGGCGCAGTAAGTCGGACTGTATTTATTTGTTCGTGTATTATTTAAAAAAAACAATTGATGAATAACGTGGTTTGAGCTTCTGTATTTCGTTATTTATTATTAATCTGCCCAGCTATCCATTAATTTCATGCAATTCCAATAATAGAAATCAGGTTGCGCCCTTCTTACTCAACCCCAGAAAAAAATCTTTTTTTCCGCCCTCAAACAATGATTAACCAAACTCGTCTCATATTATAATTCTAATTCGATTATTCCCATTGTTATAATTCAGATTCAATAATAATCGCAATTATTTTTAATTCAAAAAAAAACAACACCGCATGCCGTTAATAGCATACATACAGCATTACTATCTCATAATAACAAAAGATTATTATCGTTATTATTATTATCATTATGCTCTCATACATATATACTCACACACATAAAATAGCAGAAACACGGAATCATCGACCAGAAAAATCCATTAAAGATCCAAAATAGTGCTACTAACCTGTTGCGAGTCTTTCTTACCACAATAAGCGGTCTCTACGATAAGTTGTCTATCCGACCCTTTATTTTTCATTCTACTTGGTGTAAAAGTCGCGAATTTATTTACTAGCTTTGTGGCGGCAGAAGGTGTTTTTGTTGGTGTTGTTGGTGACTGCCGTGTTCCCACGGCAGTACTAGAAGCATTTAAAGTATTATTATTATCTTTGGATATTTGTTGTTCTGGTATTGATGACTTTGAGTCTTGCTCCTCGGTTATCTGAGACAGTGGTGTGTTAATAGTGGAAGTCATTTATTTTTTTTTTTAAAGTCTGTGTTTAAATGCTTTACTTTTCCAGGTTTGAGTCAAAATATGATTATTGTTATTGTTGTTGCCGCTGTAGTTATGATTAACCTTTATCACTGTCGTCCCTGCTATTAGTATTTACAAATTCTATCTATAATATTTCTCGTTTTCCAGAATTACCTAATATATTTATATACGGAAAACTAGAACTGTGTGGATCGTGAGTTCGCGACGGGTATACCAAATAAAAGAATGAAAAATTTGGGGGTTTAGTTTGGGTGAGAAAGAACAAAAAGAATGACGAAAAAATTTAGTAGTTATTTGCTTTGCTTTACTCACCTGTATAATTCGAGTGTATATATTATATATATAAAAATGATATATATATATATATATATATATATATGTGGGTGTAGGTGTATATATTATATAATTGTATGTATATGTATAAAGTAGATAATGCGAGCACTCTTTGTTTGTTTTAAAGGGGAAGAGAAAACAAGAAAGGGTGAAAGTTTGTTTTATTTGTTTTTTTTTCTTTTGATTTTTACTCGACTAATGTTTTTTCCCTTTGGGCAGTTTAAAATTTCTAAGAGGAAAGTAACGTGTATATATATATTTTTTATATCGATATACTATGATTTTAGTATGAGAGAGGGAAATAAAATAACAAGTGTGCTTGTGTATGTGTAAGAACGTGTTTCTCTAAGCGTGTGCAACGGACTTAATCTCTCCAGTAAAAGTAATAAATATACTATTCTATATTAAATTTTTATATTAGATGATTTATATAAAAGGGAAAAAATTAAAGTGGTTGTGTGAAATGACGCTAGGGGTGGCGCTTGCCATTGACATTTGATTTTCTATTTTCTATCTAATATACCCTATTTTATAATTATCTTGAGAAGGAGCCAACCCAAAAAATAAGAATCAGATGAAGAATACTGCAATGATTGGGAAAAAAAAGTGTAATTAAAATACAAAGGAAGAATCAAGAAACGGGAATTTTCTTAATTTCTTGTGCTTATGAAATGGTAAAAAAATGTGTTTATATATGTATATATCTACTATATATCTGCTTATTGGTGATCAGAAGCAAGCAGGCAAAATAAAAAAAATACGGTTAATAAAATCAAAAGTCAGTAAATGGCGGTGATAGATTATTGGTATGTGTATCAATGCATCAATGAAGTTACATAGGTATTTTACGATATTAAAAAAAAATCTATTCTATATAAACCAACACCATGGAATCCAACGAAATCAAAAAAAAAAATGAAAGGAAATCGTCATCGATTATTATCTATTTATATAAAAAGAGAAATATAATGAAGGAAGATCGAAGGAAAAAGGAAAACGAAAAGAGGAAAGAGGAATGGGAGATCCTAAGGGGATCTAAGGGATTCAAGCAATTAAAGAAAAAAAACAGGAGAACCTTATTATTTTTGATCTCTCTTGTTGTCATTCATCCTCTCAAGTGATCAATTCTTAACCGTTATGTGTAATACTAAAAAACCGTTGTAAAGAAAAAAACGTGTATTGGTATCGATAGACATTCTAATCTTCTCAAATACTTTATTTTATAATTTGTGCAGTACATATAATATACATCAATTATCGCAGTGGCGATAACTTAACATTAAAAAAAATTTAACGATAATAAGAAATAAGCATATGTAACTGCCCAAAAACAAGTTTCCTTTCGCCAGTCAATCAACTTAATCATCGTAACCAATGTAATCATCGTAATCAGTAACGGCATGATGACAAACTGATGGATAGAAATAGCCAAAGTTATGATGATGAGATGCATCACATGACTCACAACAGTGCATTTTTTCTCGATTGAGAAAGGTTAGTTTTAATTCCAAATCAGTTAAATAGCGATATTCTTAGCAAAGATGATGTTCACTGTTATTACTTTTTTCTCTCTATTGCTGTGCCTTTTTTCGTCTCTTGCTTTTTTTTAATCATCATCATTTTATCCCCCATCGTTTTGATTTTGAGGAACAACGGAAAGTTTTCTTTAACCTGCTTTAGTTACTTTAAGTGCCATCATGTTTAAAGATGAATCATGGGAAGGTTGTAATTACATTCGATCAACACACAGACCTCTTGATGAAAGCTTTATCATGAATAAAACAAAAATGGATTCATTTATGATAAGAAAAGAAAGGAAGAGCTAAAGGTTCCGTGGATTTAAATAAATACTCCGTGTTATGATCCGCAAGAGTCCATCTACAAATACTTCGGAATGTCCAAAATTGATGCCGTCCAGAATTCCGAACCTCGCAAACGAGATCCCGAAAATCCCGAATTCTTGACTGGGGGGTTAGATTCATGTGATATGCAAATATATACGACGTTAATATCGGAATTTCGGAACGAACCGTCGGGATTTGGAATTTCGGGTTTACTGGTTGCCGACAGGATTTCGCACGAAACTCTCCGAGATCTACAAGTCTGAATCAACACAATTTGAAATGCAATTTGGAATGTATTCACAAGTCCGAAATTATACAAAAGATCCAAGCGATAAACCATTGATCGAATATGTATGTTATAAGATCAACAATCACATTTTGGATATATCGAGTATTACACAGTTGGCAACCTGTCTTTGATCATTATTAAATGACGTTTGTTTGTTACATAACAATAATGTTTACTTTTGTATCATTATGAAAAAATAATTCCATTTATTTATAACAACATCTAACGATAGATGGATAATTGAAGCTGACTTTTGTGGAGCATTTTTTTATTAAATGCACGCATTTACATAAACAAGTGTTCGCAGTTAAAAGTGAAAAATAAAATGTGACCTAGAATTATACAATTCTCGACATCAAATAATTTATTAAACTGTTGCACTACCAATATATATATCATCATGCATGCTAAAACAAGTTCATTTTATAAATCCGCAAAGAATCCATTATTGTTATTATTAGATCCTGGTCCATTCAAAGAACTTCCCTGATTGTGTGAGATCCCATTCCTCTCCTCTTTATCCACCTCATCATCCGAACTACTTTCACTATCCTCATCGCCATCTGTATCCATTTGTTGTGTACCAGCATCATCATCACTATGATTATCTTCCTCTTCTAAATTAAAAAGAAATCCGATATCCCAAAATTTTACAGTATTATCGTGAGAGCAACTAGCCAAATAATTTTGATCATAAGAAAGACGAATCCGTTCTATTGGCATATCGTCACCATGATCACCAATTACACCTTTGAATTTATTTGGGAGAATGCCAACGGCTCTAAAAAAAAGACAAATAAAAAAGACATGGTGAATTACTAATTAATTTGAATTCATATTATTAATTTAAGCATACCGTATAATCCCATCACTAGACCCCGTACAAATTAAATCCTCGGTAATTTTTACAATTGTGTCTATGGAATTAGGATGTCCAGGAAACCGATCACTACAGTCTCCCCAATTTCCCCAACTAAATAAATTAAGAATTCCTTCTTGTGATCCTACCACTGCTTTACGGCCACTCTACATATAAATTAAGGAGGAAATTACATTACAATTCTATTAATTATTATTATAAATCAATTAATCACCTTAATAATAGCAATGGAAAGCAATTCGTCATCTTGATTATCTGACATTGCTAGTAAATTCGGACGTCTTATATCATAGACGGATAATGTGCCATCACCACTACGATGCGAATTTAATGTCATAATTAGACCGCCGATGATAAAAAGATAGCTGAGAATTTTCGTCTCATCTCTTTTTTACCTTGTAGACACCAAGGTTTTGTGTTCTGCACTAAATGCCAGATCTGAAATAAAATCCTTATGTTCAGAATATTCCATCGTTTCGTTTCCCTGTCGAGTATCCCATAACTAAAGGAATTATATTTTTTTATTTCATATATAGCGATTCAGCAATATAAAAAAATATGCGCTAAACATAATTAATTACTTTTATGACTCCGTTATCATCACCCGTCGCAAGCACGTATTGATTTAATTGTTGGACACAGTTAATCGGACCACTTAAGAATATAAATGAAAATACATTATGAAAGGTCTACTAGCGAATCTTACGTTTTAAAACATACTCATGTGCATTATGTTTCGCAACAAGAAGCTCCCCTGTTGACACGTCAATTACTTGTATTGATTTATCTTTTGATACACTATATATTGCTGTAGAATTGAAGTGGCCGTGAATTTATTTGATCGTAAATCTACCAATTCAACAAAAAGAAAAAAAAATAAGGACTTGCCAGACCCATCATGATTAAATTCTAAACCGCGACAAGATTTTCGATGTGGTCTTATTTTTAATAAATTCTCATTTTCGTCTTGATTATATTTAAAGCTATTAATCAATCAACTAATAATTAATTAAACTGATCGTTTGATTGATTCCTTTTAAAAAACGATATGAACCAAAAAACTTCGCCGGTTATAAGGCCCGTAGCTATGACATTTTCGCTAGGGTGAAAAGCAAAATCAAACACTTGGTCCTCAAATTCAAGAGGCTTTGGCACTTGAGATTCTATCTTTTCAAAAGTTAGTTAGGGTAAGTATCCTATATTACTAAATTTTAAGTTCACTTAGGCGCGTACCGAAATCATTGCAATAAAAGCAAAGCAGTCTCGAGAATTTGGAAATAATAATTCTTAAAGCTGGCAGGATTAGCAATATGATCGGTAAATTCGTCAAAAGTGATAATTTTTATTCAAATGTTGGCCAGTAAACTGATTTTTTTTATTTAATGACCGACCGAATTTTATCGTTATGTTTTCCGGTCTACCGGGTGTCCGATTTAACGGGAGCGATGTGCACATGAGTGGAAAAAGTAATTTGGGAAAATGTATAGCTGATTTAGCTCAATTGGCAGAGCAAACCGCTTTGCAAACGGTGGTGAAAGCCCAGGCAGTATATCTAGAAGTTCTTTTTTGTTCTAATTAAATGCGCCTCGATTGACTGAATCATTGTAAAGCAATAGCTATAGAATTTGGACACCAATATTGAAAAGGTTTTTATTTCGGTACATTCATTCCGTTCATGTTAATTTAATCTTATGGTGGTTGTTGATGATATTACAATAAAAAGATTGTAAGGTTTAAAAAAATATGTTAATTCATATAGCCAAAGCCATGTGATTTCGCAAGAAGAATAAATCGAGTGATACTTTGAATAATAGTATCAAAGAGGACATGTATAGGTCAGTTTCCCAGTTCAAGCAAGCATTAAGAATAAAGGCATACTGCCTAGACAGCCTCGAGGATAATATTATAAAAAGCAATAATGATACCATAATAAATAGAGATAGTAATAATCATGATTGACCTTTTGTTTGCTTAGCGGGCGAAGTGGTAGTATTCGGGGGTGTTTCTGGAACTCCACTACGATTATCAATGAAAGCCTCTATAGCAACCGTATGATCGCGATCAATAATAATAATATTATTAGTGTCAGTAGAGCTTTCGATGGTAACTCCTTTAATTCCCTTTTGCAGTATCTACACTAGGCAATTCACCTCTTGTTATAGCATTCACACTTGATGCTTGTTCATTCGGTGATTCAGGCCTCGCGGCCCGGGGCTTTGATATTCTGGATTTTGACGAAGCAGATGCCTTTAACTTAACATAAAAATTTAAATTAGCACAGGCATCAAAAAAAACTAATGGTATAGTAATTTTTTATCATCTGATGCTTACATTTCCTTCTGATGTGCTATTGTTAGTTTCACTTTCATGGTGATTTGGATTTATTCGCTTTTCAACGTTTTCACGGTGAATCCGATTTTTCAGGTGGATTTCAAAATTATTTAATGTTAAATCGGGACCTGGTTGATAGAGTCTTCCGGGGCAATCAGAACATCTTATTCGGAATTCATTAGGCTTATTTGATCTCTCTGTGATATCAAATCGATCGCGTGGATATTTCCGCGCAAGTAAATCTCGCTGTAAAACAATCCACTCAGGATAAGCCTGATGATTATCAATATTGTGAGTGTAGAACGATGCAGCTTTAATCTTAATATCATCAAGAAAATTAAAATTAATAAACAATTACCGTCTTCGTTGATGACTGCTTTGTTGGATTTGGAGGTGAAGCTGGTATTGAGCGTGAACTTGAACTAACACCAGGCGTCAAATGACTTGATTTTGTAGTTGCTTGCAAAGATCCGGCGGAATTTGATGTAGAATGTGTTGTTAAATGAGGACCCGCCTTTCGACGAGTCGACTTTGAAGGGCCGCTCTTTGAGGTTTTATTAGATAAAGTATCAGAAGAGTCTTTATGTGAAGAACCAGATGTTGCTGCAACGTTTCGGTTAGACGTGTTTGATGTACTGCTAATCTTATCCGAAGTTTCATTATTTGTTGATATTTTAGAATCTTCCTGCATTTCATCCGACATAGATTCCAAATTCGAAATTGATGTCATATTAGATATTCTAGTGGGTTTGGGATGAACGATCGAAGAAGAATCTGCAGCTAATGACGATGCCCTTGTAGGGCTGCCTTCTTGTGATGTTGAGGTACTCATTTGCATATCACCGGACGCCGTCATACGTCTGAGTGTATTATTCTTTTGGAAGTAGAGACCTGAGAAATAAATTTATCAATCAAATAATCATAATTTAATAATGTTCTTTAAGCTTTTACAAATAATTGATTTACGACTTACCACACGCGTTGCAAAGCGTCTGAATGAGTAAAAAGTCAAAGCATGTTAGTTAATTCATTAATTGACTAATATTTGATAAGTAATAAAATATACCTTCTCTCCACCAGGACCTTTACGTAGCAGAGGCGTCTGCGAGGAAAGACATCCACAGTTGAAACACGTCCATTCTTCACTTGCTGTACCTATAGAATATCAATAAAAAAGCTTCGAATTAAATACTTAAACAAATGAATATAAGATACGGGCATGCAGCAATTTGATAGATTCGTAACCGAAAGCTAAAGAACAGAATAGTCTTGAGCTCTTTTATAAAATGTATATAAAATAAATTAAATAAGAACACTAGCAAGTAATTTAATTGGGTCGGCTGCCTAATAACGGAACTTTCCAAACTTTGCGAAGACAAATCTTGGATATTCCTTGCACATCGTACAATTAAAAAAATTCCGCTCTAATAGTTTTGCGCGTACCTGCTGCTGCACGTCGATATTGCCTTTTCGTTGATTCTTTTGATTCTTTTATTGTTGTGCTCGAATTCGCTGATCCTGATCTTCGATTCATGTGAGAATCCGACATATCTGCAGACATAGCACTTCGTAAGTTACTGCCTCCCACAGCCGCCGTGCGGCCTCGACCTCTTAATTTTCCAGGCGCGGGTGTCACTGGTTTCTCAGATATGGCCGAATAGTTATCATAGCCCATAGAACTTGCTTTACGTTGAACCGGGGGCATACCCGATGCAATTACTGGAATGAGGCTAGTTTCGTCTGCGGGATCAGGAATAAGCATGGTATTATGTAATAAGGTTCTGTGAGTTTTGGGAGGCTCCCTATCTGGAAGAATGACTCCCCTTCTTCCTCGAGTTTGACGCCGTTTACGCCTAATTTTTAAATTAGATAAAGTGAAATAACTCGATGCATATTTTATGATAAGAAAGCAACTTTATTGAGAGTGGCAAAAATTTACCTCGCATCTCGTTCTCTATCTTTTTCGATCTTATCGATTTCAGCCTCGGTCAATTCAACCAAGATTGGCGTATGTTGATCGACTTGCTCTTCTTTCCTTATTACAGATGATAACGCCGGTAAGAAATTCTGTCGAAGATCATCATCTTGCACAGTCGAGCCGTCAAAAGGATGACCCACTAGAATTAACGATTTAACATAAATTTGAACTTGTTCGCGTATCGAATGCGCAATCGCGGTTCTTTTTTGGTGTTAAAAAATCTTATTAAATAGAGCAACAGGGTTCGGTTAATTGAAGAAAGAAACATACTTGAATTCACCACCCAAACCTAACTCAGCCGTCAGTATTTCAGCAAAAAGTTCTGGATCATTTTTTTGGCAATTTATGTCCCATTCAAACTGATCCACTAAGGATATATTACCCACGGTGACATCAATCTTAATAAACAACAATCATTTAATGTGCTCAAAGTTTTATTTATATTGAATATCAACTTTTTTTCGGGAGCCAAAATTAAAATACCTTAATTAAAATTCTTAATTCTCCTTCATCAACAAGCTGGTCATGATCAACCCGTTCTGGGATTTCAATATCCATGTCATCACTATTTTCACCACTATTTGCATTCTTTAACTTATCAACGATCTTTAGAAAAGATTCTGTTGATTTGCCACTATTTACTTCATTTGGTGCTAAGGGTGGCAACGTAGATGCTGTTATTGCAGGATGCAAATAAAATCCTTGTATCTGTTCATGGATTTGTTTTGCAATTGCCGGCACAAATGATGCACTTGGAAAACGCAAGTCATCACATAGAACTTCCGCAAACTGTTCGGGTGTTATGATGGTTTCTATGTAATAATGGAATATTAAGTTCCATTTTAGACTGTAATAATAACAAAAATAGTAACAATAATGATGCCAAATCTTATCAGATGAAAATGTAGCATCACGTGGATCCCCTAGTACCATTCATGTTCCAGGTAAATGTGTCTCGTAGCTTATGTCCGTCCAGATCAATTTCTAATCTTATTGGTACTAATGAATCCTCTTTATATGCTATTTCTTCTAGCTCTCTTCCAGAACTTAGAAGAAGAAATAATTATATCATTAAAAATATGAAATCTTTAATTTCGGATTAAATCAGATAACCTACAACGAAAATTCTTTGGTTTTTTTAAATCTTTTCCGATCATGGGGATAGATTATTCGAAATTTATTTCCTGTCGTCCCATTTCCGTATCCATCATAGCCTGGACCGAAAACTGATGAAGCGCTACGTGCATTTGTTTTCCTTTCATTATGTGCAATTTCCATCTCTCTTCGTTTCTCTGCGATTAATGCCATTTGTCTTCGATGTTGAAGATCCAATGCTTTTTGGTAGAGGGCATCTCTTTTAATATACGTTTCAAGATTTTGCTTTTGCACTGGATTAAGATCTGGTGCTGGTTCATAGGGTTTTGGATTTTGTCTTCGATGCACATCGTGTAAAGTTTGATGTGAAGATTGTTGCGGATGTGTCTGTTGTATTTGAGCATAATTTTGTTGTGGTCTCTTGGTGATTGGTGTTGTTTGTAATATACGAGGCTGAACCTTTGCGCGTTGTTGCGGGTTCACAATAGCCATCTGTTGCTGCTGCTGCTGCTGCTGTTGTTGTTGTTGCTGTTGTGAAAATTGTTGCTGTTGTTGCTGCAAGTGCCGCTGCTGTTGTTTCTGCTGCTGTTCTTGTAGCGACGTAATTTGTTGCCGGGGTGAATTAAATTGACTTAAATGCTGAGGCAGACGAATTATCCCTTGCTGTTGCTGCTGCTGATAAACATCTATACCAAGCCCATTGACACTATTTTGAGTTTGAAAACCCACCACGTTATTAGCAGTGCTTATATTTGGATTATAAACGGACTTTTCAAAGGTGGAGATCGGTGGGATCGCAGAATTTGAAGCTGCCTGTATGGGTTGACGACTTTGAAAAGCACCAGAGTTTACCATCATGTTATTGTTGCCTGCACCTAGCTGTTGTAACGCGTAGTTTCCAATTTGTGTATAGTTGCGTTCTATGGCAGCTTGCTGTTGTTGTTGTTGTTGTTGTTGCTGCTGCTGCTGCTGCTGCTGCTGCTGTTGTTGCTGCTGTTGTTGCTGCTGCTGCTGCTGTTGTGACAAATTTGAATTCATTGCACGAGGATCTTGCATGTTCGAGTTTCCAAAGTTCGTTAAATTATCCATTTTATTTCTTTAGATTAGAACGATTATGGAATAATCTAATTGAACAAAATGGCCAGAATTATCAAAAATTTTGTTATTTGATCATCCACTCAAAACTGACGCGAACACCAGCCTTGACCCTATACTTATGAAACATGTGCTACTAGGGTCGTACCAAGGGCTAGCTAAAAACCATCATCACCCACTTTTCAAAATTAGGTTATAGCAGAGGTTGCCAATGCTCACTCCACCCGCATTGATCGTTGAGCAGGATAGTATATGCTTTTCAAAGACTTGGAATAAAATTGAGAATATACATATTTAAATTTTGTGTGTAAAAGTTTAGGTTGTTTTCCATTATTAATGATACATGTAAACAAAAAATACCACTTACTGCATTTTACATTTTCATACTTAGTAATAAAAGAACAGTATTTTTATCATCTAAACAAATTAAGCATAAAACCGCATATTTGACTTGTACGATAAATAATTATGATTTCAAGGATCAAGTTTGCCTCCAATAATGCAACAAATGAGAATGAAAAAAGTAGATTGCAAATATATAAGAGATAATTAACAAAGTAATTATTAAACTTCAAAGATAAAAAACGTTATAATATTAATATCACGAATATTTTGTTAACTATCATAATTATATTTATTATTTTTGAAAATTATAATTTAAATACAAGTTTAAAGATCAAATTATTGATCATAATTGATTTTTACTCATCTATCATTAAGGCTTGATCCAATATCTTTCGGTACTATTACCTGTATTCTTTGTTATTTTGAAAAATATTCCTGCAGACTTTGAATTTTAGTGTACTAATGGTCAAACTCAAAGCCTGCGACATCTACTAGATTGATTTTCTAGCCACGTAGATTTTTTCGATCTCAAACGTTTTACCTTTTCCAATCCTGTGAAATCAATCATAATAAAATTAATTAATTAATATATACGTGTATTTATTTTATTATGTTTCGCGAATTTTTAATGTTTTAATAACATGGTGACCATACCCCAACCTCACGTGTATTTGAAGGTTGAGTAAAATACCTAGATTTTCTGTTATCTGTCACTTATTTCTTCCTCTCAGATGAAAATAGGTTTATAAAAAATGGTCGTCACATACTACACAATTAAATCATCGTTTTAAAATCATAGTAGCAATAATAACATATATGATAAAAAAAGTCACCTTCTTTCGATATCTTGCAGTGCTAGCCACAGCCATTACTCCATCTCGTATAGAGCAGGCATACAAATGGTTAAGCACAACATGATTTGGGACCGGTAAAACGCTATTATCTTCTTTTGATACTGTACTGTTGAGAAGAACTTTTTCAAGATGTGGCGGTAAAGATGGCGGTTGATTCTCAGCCATACATTCCGCCCCTTGAAAAAGATCATGTGGGGACATGGAAACTTGATTGTGATAATGATGTATCAAGTTGTTTTCCGCAACATTGAGAGAATGCGCGTATGCAAGTAAATATCCAGGAATCTCGGACGTGTATTCGCCGGGTGGTGTAGTGCACAAAACACCTGCCAAAAATAATGATGAATAATAGTTAAGAAAAGAGAAAAGAGGTAACTCTTATTTTTTTGTCACCTGGGCTATTTGTTGGCTCTAGAGTGTCTTGGTCTATTGCACTCACGGCTTCGTCTTCAAAGACTTCTACATAATTTACCAGATTTCCATCTGAATCGGTTGCTATTTCGAGATCATTTGAACATTTCCATTCATCATCTACAATGAATTTCAATTTATGTGTTCCAGACGGTAAAGCTATTACTGTCGTAAAATCATTTGAGCTGTCATTGAACAAAATGTAAATTTAATGAGATGAAAAAAAATCAATGATCACAATCATTCAAAGAAATACCTTTTGCATAGCCGTATGTTTTTCTTCCAATTATTAAAGCTACCGGTAACAAATACGTTATTCCCCCCTTGACTCCAAGTGATAATTGTTGGTATAGCTTTGCTTTCTTCTATAAAAAATTAGAAAATTAGCTTCCAAAAATAATAATTTCATAACAGTGAAATAAAAACAAACCTTGTTCATCTTGCAATTTAATCATATCTTCTCCTTCCGTGATAATTTCATTAGGGATTTCATTATCAGTATTAGGCGACGGCTCAACCGACGAAGGCGAGGAGGACGGTGGTGTGGAAGGGGGCTCAAGAGTCATCTTGGTGGGACTATCACTACCAATACCAGCCAGAATCTCACTCTCATTAAAGCTTGAGGCTAAACTTCCTTGGCTATTTTCATCATAATAAATATCTTCATTTCGCTCAGGTGGAAGCAAGGGCGAACGTGCAAATTGTGGACTCGAGGCAAAGTCATTACGAAAAGAACTTTGGTTAAGTAGTTGACCTGCAGCTACTGCTTTGGCGGGATCTGTCTGTGATAGAGGATTTGCTGTTTCTGGTGCCGTAAATGTGGAATCGTTGTTGGTCTCGTTGCTTAATGTAGTGCTGTTGGAAGGTTGGTTCGATTGTGTGTTTCCCATGATTAAATTTAAGCTAGATCGACATAAATGTTTTGTCCACATAAAATACTGTGGGACAACAAATGATGATGATTTATGTCGAGTTTACAACTTAAAAAGCAGCGGTTCTCAATATTACCTTTCGAACACTAATATATAGCAATAACAATGTCTTCAGAAGAAACAGCTCCTATTGTTCCTCACAACATGGTTAATTCTTCTGAGCTCAACTCATTTTCGACATCAAAAACTTTATTATTACTTTCTTTTCTAATATTATTCGTATGGAGTTGTTTGGAGAAATCGTCGTTATTGTTATTAGGGCTTGGTTGTGCTTTTGGTTATTTAGTGCGGATTAATGCTACTCAAAATGAAAGAAATGAGAAACTAGCAAGTTTTCAGCAAAAAGTGGATGAGATAGTAGGATCAAACCAATTCCAGGTTATTATTTCTATATGCGTGTTTTATAATCTTTTGTTTTTTTTTTAATCAATAAAAAATATTAAAATAAGTGAACAACTTTGGATAATTTAGCCATCTAAGAAAGTTTTCTCGACTGAGCTTGCCATTAATCCCAACATTGACGCGTCCTTGAACAAGCTATTTGATTTGATTATGCGAGACTTTGTTCACTTGTACTACGATCCAATAAATCCAAACAACGACACAGAATTCACGGATCAAGTTCGAAAAAGTTTGAATTCAATGGCAATGAATTTCGCGTTATATTGTCAGAAATTAGATAAAGTCGATTTGGGTATTATGTTTGGTTTTGCCGTTTCAAATACTTTTATTGTTCATTTGGTATGTCATTTTTTATTATGGGATTATTGAATGAAATTTTTATTATATTTAGAAGACATGATTGAAATATAAAGTCTTGCCAATACGGGAATTAGTATAGAAGTCACCATTTATAAAGATAACATACAAATAATATATTATACAGAAAATCGGGATATATTAAAAGTGCATTTTTTTTCATCTTTATTAGCGCGAATACCGTAAATTCGTTTCAACACACCAAAATTTAGACATGTATTGCCAATTAAATGTTACCTCACCATTCGCCCACACCACAAATAAAAAAGAACAAGCACAAACGCTACGAGGGCTTTCCCGTTTTATGTTTTCGCGTCTTTTACCGCATAATGAAGCAGGAAGTGGGATTTTGATGGCTTTCTTTTCGGAAATGTGGGCCAATGAAGTTTTTCAGAAAACTTTAGATACTATCTGTGATCCTGACTGGATTAATTGTACAATCGTGGGGTATCTTACAGAGGGTAATAATTCGGTTGAGGAAAATGATTCGAGCCTTTTTCAACAATTGGCTTCGTCTATTGACGAAGAAGTAGCTGGACTCGCGGAAAAATTAAAAGAACCTTCTGAGGATTCTGGCAGTAGTCCTAGTTCAAGCAATCGTGCTTCAATCTCGTCAAATCACGATGCAGAATTTTTGGATTCTCCCACTGATACAATTAGTTCGAGTATTAGTAATAAGAATACAGACGCTAATGAGAATTTTTCAATAGAATCTTCTTTTGAACGCAGTCCAACAATTAGCACACCTCAGAAAAAACTTGCCATCAATGTCATCGACTCCTCTCCAACGCCACCTTTATCCCCAAATAGGGTTTTCTTGCGCTCAGATAAATCTGCTCAGCTTCAAAAAATTCTTCAGCGACAGAATGAAATTTTCGCAGAAATTTTCGCAGAATTTATGGCTTTTTTAGAAGAATTAGGTTCGGCCAATCTACTACGTTTTTGGCTGCAGGCTGACTCGTTTCGTAAAATCGCGTCCAATGAAGTAAACCCGGATCTCATACAAGAGGATGCATTGCGAATATTTAAATCATATTTCGATGAAACCGCAACCTCTCAAATTAAAATTGTGCCAGAGGGATTAGTCAGAAGATGTATACAAGAGATTGAAGAAGCACCCACGGGAAATTGTTTCATAACTGTGCAGGAATATATTTTTGGTATATTAGAAAGGGATTACTATGATGATTTTATTCAAGCAATGCAAACACAAGGCCAAGACTTGAGCTTGATAGAGGTGAAAGATGAGAAAAAAAACAGCTTTAGCCGTGTTAAAAATGAAATAAAAAATAATTTTAAACGCGTGATGTCTTTGCCCCTTTCTAATTCTAATAACCAATCATTGACAAGTTCCCCTTTGTCTATAACAGTATCAAACACCCCATCGCCTCCTGATATAGCCTCTGAATCCTCACTATCGGAAAAAAGTTCGCCTGATACATCAACATCCTTCTCTTTATCTACGTCGCATATTTCAGAGGGTGAAGAAAGACATCACAAGCGATCTAATACCATAGATAACTCTTCTCTTACCCCTAATCCGACAAAGACTGAATTTCCACCTGATGTTCTTGATATACCAGAACCCAATGATAATCCAAAACGCCGTTCAAGATCGTTATCAACTGGAAATGCATCACAAAACGTAGGAAAAATTCTAGAGAACGGAAATTTGCGCGAAGGGCAAAAGATAAAAGATCTCGAAAGACTACAAAATGACGAGATAAAAATGATGGAGCGAGAACACTCGTTCGATTCTTTACATGGACCACAAAAAGACGAGGAATACGAAGAACAAGATTCATCTTTAAGCGGAGATGAGGAGGACGATGATTTGATAACAGAAAAAGAGTTGGATTTAATGATGGATCTTGAAGGGGTACAAATAAAAATGTCGGATGTTTCTGAATCTTCACCCAATAAATATATTTATACGACTAAATCTTTAGCGTACATGATTGAAGTTGAGCAACCGGGTTCTACTGGATGGATTATGACTCGAAGTTTCAATGACTTTGAAAAATTGCACACAAAATTAAGCGAAGAATTCCCAAAAATGGAAAAAGTCTCAATGCCTCGTCTACGATTAAAAAAGAATCATGAAGCATGCAGTGCGTTAGAAAGATATTTAAATATTTTATTGAGTGATAGGGTCTTGTGTAAAAGTAAACCATTACAAACTTTTATGAAAAGGGATGGAATGCCCAAAGAAATGAACTCAGCAAATACTAAAAGCGTTCGAAAGAACAGTTTGTGGAATACGAAAAAATTCTCAATTAAATCTTCGTCTGTGATAAATCTTAGCACAACAATTGGGAATATATTGCAAAAAAATTCTTTAGACACATCTTCACCCGATCTTACTTCTCTTGATATAACGCCGGAGAATTCTACGAAATTATCACGTAAACGTGCAAATAACTCGATGCGTGTTCGCACTAGTATCGAAAGTGTCACATGGGGCTCAAGTACAACAGTAACGCCGACTTCGAACTTTGACAATAACAGTGTAACTACCACTCCAATAGCATGCAAACCAGCGACGGATATGTCTATAATCAATAGTAAAGATGGCATGATCGATGAACAAAGTTTACTTAGTTCCGAAATTGATCACCCAAAACGACACTCGAAACCAAATAAACAATTAACAGGTCAAGATATTGATCTATTAATAGACACAATGTTTGCTGTAGTGGAAGAAATATTCGATTTATCCGAAAAATCACAATGGCATCTTCGGAAAACAGTTCTTTCGGTGCTCCGGGAAGTAGTAAGAAGATCTTTCTCTCAGGTGATCAAACAATCTTTCTTGGAGGCTATCGAATCATCATTCACTGAAGAACAAGCAGTGAACGCAATAAATCAATTAACAAATTCATTTTGGCCTAATGGAATTTGGGCTGATCCTGCTCCTGCACGCTCAGAACAAGAAAAATTGCAAACGAAAGAGGAGGCAAAGAAACTATTGTTGAAATTGGTACCGGATTCCCTGAAACAAGTGATGGGATCAGAAAATTCAAGGATCATGGTAGATGGATTGGTGGATGGATTTTTGGCAGAAAAGGAAGTTGTGCGAGGAATGGGTGTTAGTATATTAGAAAGTATAACGAAATTGATAATTACCGAGTGATAATATAACTTTTTGTCTATCTAGAGCATATATACATTTGTAATTAATAATTTTGTAATTTATTATTTATTTGTCAATTCCTTTTTAAAATGATCAAGTTTTGTGATAATTATTGATTTTTTATATTAGAAATGAAAATTTGGAAACGTCTTCAGAGTTCGTGCGCAAAGGATTATAGAAACGCTAAATTTAAATAAAAATTACATATTAATTTAAAATCAGGCTTTATTAAAAATGAACAATCACTTTTAGTTTAAAAATGAATGTCTGGTACTACACACCCTTACAATATATTACCAGAAATCTCAAAATCCAGTAATCCCCGATATTACCATAAGAGAGACATTTATATCTTATTAAATGGGTATCCAAAGTGAGATTTCCCGATAATATATTGTAAATTGATCATCAACAAAAGCTTATTTTTGAAAATAGCTTGTATCTCAAATTTCGTTTATGAAACAGCCTTTTGTATTTTAACAAAAAATGTTCTTTGAAAATTTTGCTTTACTGACTTTTTGCTGTTATAATCTTAATTCTGACCTTAATGTTAACCTTAACCCGAAACTCTCGTTAATAAACTTGAAATTTGATTGGTCAAACAAATCACGTGTGCGTGAATTTTTGCAGGTATTTTTTATAATACTGCGGACACGGGGGACTGTCCAATGTTCCGTGTATAACACTGCTACTATGCGTCGCGCCCCTTATCATATCCAAAGGGTAGACGAAACTCGATATAACGATGTTTGATTCCAGAAAGTTATGGTAAATGCACCTTGATAAATTGAATTTATTATAATTGATAGCCAGAACACTTCTTCCTTTTGTATACTCCCGCAAATTATATTGTAACTAGAAAACTAGATTAGGTTTGGATTTTTTAACTGTCGAAAAAAATTACTTTGGCATAATGAACTATATACATACATATGTAATTAGTATGCTAATAAATCGAATCTATCAATAAATTTACATACATTATGCTAAGCACAAACATATTAATATTAGATAATACTATTTTATAAATTATTCAAAATTTTCATCCAGAAATGCTTTCTAAAATAAATATCGTTACTCTACAAATTCTTACTTTACACGTTCTGATAATACAATAACATTATACATTTCCTCTAAGAATCCCCTCTTACTTCCCGCAAAAGTTCCCAAATCACAGCATCATACCATTTAGCATAAACCTCGCGATTATAGCGTCCAACAACGCATATTTTATTACTCAACTGTTCTAATTCTTTTGCTACGGGCAAAACCCCATACTGAGCTAGAGTCTCACGTTTAGGGAACTGTCCAGTTTGTAAATGTAGCTTGATAATGCTTTGAATTCGTCGCGATAACAGAGAAAAGACCTTATCAGATTGAGACAGGGTTTTCGAGACCATTGATTTGATGAGTGCTTGGTTTTCCGCTGTTAGTGTTGATGGTAGCTGCGATATAATTTCCGCGGATAAATTTTCTAAAGTGGTTTCGTCGTCCGTCAACAAAACGAAAAGTCTATCTTTGAGTTTATTCATGTTGTCTTCAATGTGAACGGAAGATGAAAAGTTTGTTGAATTGGAGGGTTTTGATTGTATTGTTCCGCTGCCGAGCACCACGTTTTTAGTAAGCATCAGCAAAGCGGCGACGATCGTAATTGCTTGTCCTTCATTCTGAAAATTGAAAAGCCTAGCGACATCTAGAGCGAATGTTTCAGGGCAATTACTTTTATCAATACCCGTTGCCTGAAAGATATAGGAAACCAATGCTTCATTATATGCTTGATCAAATTTAACACCATAATTGTGTTGATGTTGTGGCAAATGAACGTTTTCCGGGTTACGTTCCGCTGCGGTTCTTAAGAGTGATTCGATGGTAGGCTTCAACCAAGTTTTGGTTAATTCTAAAGAAATCTTATTATTTTCAAGGGATTGTTCAAACTTGCGTCTTTCATACTCGACAGCTTGCTCTTTGATGAATGGTCTTAAAGCCTTCACTCGGTAATTATTAAGATCCAATCTCATCAAACCTAGAATTTCTAATAATCGACGTAAAATTTCGGAAAGTTCCGTAATTTCTTTGAGCGCTTTAATTTGTTCATCACGTACAGGTGCACAAATTTGAAGCATCGTTTTGGTGATGAACATGATGCAATTTCTAAAATTGTAAACACCTGCTTTTGTTTGCTGCTTAATTAATTCGATATCAAGAACTTCATTGATCGAAGTAAACAATGCAGAAGAGGGTGGCACAAGCTCAAGAAGATTCTTTAGAATAAAAATAAAGTTAGAGATTCAATATAAAAATTATAATTTCTCCAAAAAATGATAACAGACAGACTACATACTTGTTTGATCTCTTCGAGAAGCTGTGGTAAAAAATTATCATATTTTCCTTGTTCAAATTCCGCTTTGACGCAATTGAAAAATGCATCAGTGGCCATGAGCTGAACACTACGAGGCTTAATTTCAAAATCAGGGTCAATAATAATTTCATGAGCAAGTTGTTCATTTGTAATGCCCACGTCTCCCACAGGACCAATAATTCGGCGAAGATCGTGGCCAGACACAGCAACTGAAGATAAATCAATAGCACCAAAAGGCTCGGACAAAGTGGCATTGACTGTAGACTTTCCCTTATCCGACGAAATTGAAACAGAAGAGAGAGGATTGTGTTCGATGTTGTTAACTAAATTGTTCTGTGCATTTTTTTGGAGTGATGGCGTTTGAGGCGAATTAGTTTTAAATGTTGTTTTCTTTTCTCGGGAAGAAGGTGAGACGTTTAATACATTATTAAGAGAGGGTATTTCCAAAGGTTTGGGTGGTGATGATGATGATGATGATGATGATGATGAAATGTGAACATCTTTTGGCGCTAAAGATGATTCTCGGGATCCGGAGGACTCCCTCTTAGTACATAGATCTCTGTCATTTTCTTCGATAACTGAGCTTCCCTTAACTGTATCTAATTTGTAAAAATCGTTGATATCTTCGTTTGGCAGGTTTTCCCTTAATTGTGCAAGAGCACTCTCCAACCGTGCCATCCCAGATTCACCACTCAAATGTCTGATTTTCTGTCTTATCTTTTCTTGCTGCTGTTTCAAGCTAGGCCTCCATTCGGTTTCAGCATTAGCCTGTCCCTTTACACTGTTCCATAATTTCTCCATGTCCACGTAATGAGCGATAAGATTGTTGGCAAGCTCTTCAGAGTCTTTTGATTTCCAAGAGTTAAAATCATTATAATAGACAGTCCACAAGGAAAGAAACTTGCACAAAATATTATAATGAATTTTATTCGGTGGGCCATAAACTATCTCGTCGATCCAGTGTTCAAATTCATCAAGCATATTTTTCGCTGATTCTAATAAAGCCTATCATCGCAAGAAATAAATAATTATTATAGTTATTAATACACTTTAGATTATAATTCAGATAGAATATACTTACTTTTTCATGCTTGCCAATGGATTCAAGAATTTCGTCGGTGTGAGAAACTATCATGTATGCGCTAAGAAATACTCTAGCCAAATTCTTATACCTATTGGAACCAGAAGTCAATGGTGAAGCTTTTCTCATCCGTTGCAATAATCTAAGGGTCACTTGGATTATCGCTGGTTGTTTCAAAAGTTTTACTGTCTCTTGGAAAGAGAGGATCTTGGTAGATTTCAACGAGATATTGAATTTTCGAAAAGTTTTGGCAACGCTATAATATTGTCTATAACGCCAATTATTTTGAATGATAGTTGCAGCTTGTTCGCGAGTTAACTGTATATTTGAGTTCAAGATACGAGATTTTGGAACAGCAAGAAGTTTGGCACGACGAGCTGCAGTTGCCTTCTGGCGGCGCTCCATATCAGCACGACGTCGATCAATTTCTTCTTGATTTTTCAACTGCTGCTGACGGGCAACTTCTTTGCACCTAGCAACTTGTTGAGCACATTGTTCGACCAATTGTTGGAGAATAGTGTTGCGTTTACGTTCGGCAGATTGCAAAGTTTTTTGGATTTGCGAGCGTTTCGTAGACGAATCGTGCAGCGCATGTTGATGCTGCTTGCTGAGAACATCTTTAACATGTAAATATTGGCGTGCAAGTTTCATACGTCTTTCCTCTAAAATTGCCTCACGCTTCGCTTGAGCCTCGTAGGAACCTGATTTTTTAGATTGCATTCTTTTCTCAAGATGGAATGGACGTTTGCTAGCATGATGAAGTGGCAGAACATCAATTATGTAAAAACCAGAATCTGTTTTGTACATCTTGAAAAGATCATGTAATATATTTTGAACAGGTTAATTAATAGACCCAGTAATTTAATGCGAAAATATAATAAAATGGATGACATCTTTTATTTATAGCCATATTTACCTTTAAGCCAATTTTCCTTTAGTTATTTATCAAGAACGAGCTATCAATTAGACAAGTTATTTTTGTGATTTGGCGGGTGATTCGAAATGCAACCAACTAGAGCTGTGTCTAAATGCGATTGACAAAGAATTTCGTTAAAAACAGAAACCACAAATATAAAGGCTGCTGAGAATGACAAACACAGAATCACAAAGGTGGTGTCACCAGAAAGTTATAATTAAACTGGACAAGAAAATCACTTACATATAAACTGTGTATTTTAAGTAAAACGAGACAAAGACGGAGTTTAAAGAAGAGTAGAACTTAAATAGCTTAATAATAGTTGATCCTTAACGTTAGGTGAGTCAACTATAAAACTTCCCTCGTGATTCTATTTACGATCCCATATAGATTTCTTTTATACATTCGACCAATCATGAGCTTATCAGATTATGTATGATGACGTACGTGAGTATTCTACATATGATCTATTAATTACGCACCAAAAAGGAGAACGGTTAAAGCGTAGTCCATCATGTGACTAATCCCTTTAAATTTTCAGAGTTTACTATTAATGGTTTTTATGATTTATAAGGTCTGGGTAAGGGTAACGGTTAGAAGATTGTATGTAAAATTGCAGTCCCAACAAATTTTAATTAGTATTCCAAGACAGATTTAGGCATTAATTTTCGAGTAATATTCATTTTTCATATCTTGTGTCGGATTTGTTTTGCCGGGTTGATCAAAAAATTTGCGCACCCCTATTGGACATGGATCACATGATGGACTACGCTTTAACCGCTCCCAAAAAAGGATAGATTAAACTCAGTCTATAGCGTTAGTAAGGGGAGGGTCGAATGATGTCATTTGATTTCTGGAATTTTTTCCCTCGTTTTTTTGTAACTTATATAGCGTCACCCGATAATTTGGGGATGCGTTAAAGCGTAATAGGGCGCATAAATTTTGATCAACTCGGCAAAATGGAAGCCGACACAAGATATAGAAATGTTCTCGCTAAAATCGAATAAACATTAACTCGACACTCATACAAATATTTTTATTAATCAAAATTCATTTCAGGTCAGGAATAAGAGTATTTACTATTAATATTAGTACCAATGTTTGCAATCATTTGTTGAGCATTGAGTGTATATATATATATATGGTTTTTCGTTTAAATATTTCAGTGGCTTCAAGTAGATAATCGAGTAAAATTAGTCAACTCATGACGAGTTTAACATATTAGAATTTGTGATACCTCATCGAAAATAACGCAAATTCAAATCACCGCCACAATCAGACTAATTCTCAATTGATTTCACACTTGAGATCTCACAAGTCGCGATATAAAGTTCAAGCTTCTTTATCGCGCGGTAACCTTGACGGTTTGAAATACAAAATTCCGTGAGCTTTCTGGAACTCCTGGTAGTCGTGGAAATAACAAAACCGAAAAATCTATAATTCCAAACACACTGATTAACATAGACAGTAAATAAATTGAACCCGGAAGGAATTGAACCTTCGCCTCAGAAGAGACTAGCCATACGGGAACTTCAGATGAAAAAAAAAAGCGAGAACCACCACCCGGGAAGAACCGAACCTCCACTCTAAAGAAGCCCATCCATACAAACTCCCGAGTATCATAAGGAAAATGAATTATAAACCATACGTTCTACCAAGAGCCAAGTTATCTTTAATTAAGAATGGTTCCATACGGCAGAACTATAGAGGGTTAAACATCAATTCAACTGGTCTCTGACAGTTGGTTTCTCCCAAAAAGCAGAAGAACGGCCCACTACCTGCGCTATCACTGACTGACGCTGTAAAAACAAGGGACAACCAGTAAATAGGGCCTCAAATCTATTGGCTTCAAATCTCCAGAAAGTTTCACTAAAGTTTTAAGTTGACAGCGAGGACTGGGTATGCACACCAACATAAATAACAAGAAAGCAAGAAGACTACAGTCATACCTCTATATAAGAACATGGTTGGGCCAAGAAATCTGATTCTTATAAAAAAATATTCTTAAATAATTTATATTTTTATATAAGAACAATATATAGTATATTATATAATGTTCTTATAAAGTAATATCTATTATATATATTCATATTGTTTATAATAACAAAAATATTTTGTATTTTATTGTTTTCACATAGTATCTAAATTTACTTGTTTGCGAGAATTAATTATAAGTGCTTCAAATTTACTAGCTTTTTTCTAAATAAAGATATTTCTTGTTTTATAAATTCAATACAATTTTCTTGTTCAGTAAATTAAATAATAGTATATAATGCTTTTTGCAACATCTGTAAATATAATAAATGAAGATGAAGATTCTTTATTTTCTTCAGAATTCAGAAAAGTTTTTCAGATTCAAGCTCAATATCTGCTTTGATCATAGTAATAATTTCTTCATTATTTATATTTCTTTTATTAAAACTACATTGTCAACTACTTTAATATAAGTTCAATTTCTTCAAGAAACTTTACTATCTTTTCATTTTTATTAGTTGTATTAATTTGAAAAAGTAAAATAATAACTTTTATTTTATTATTATCTAAATTATAATTAATTAAATAGATAAGATTTCTATACTGATATTATTAATATTTGAAAGAATCTTTGTTATTTTTCAATAATTTTCAATAACAGTTTGAATAACTTCATTTCAGAATTTGAAAATATAATTAATTACTTGTTTAATATTAATTTTATTTCTAAAATATAATATATAATAAGATAAATAAAAATTATTTAACAAAATATAATATAAATATACTTATTAATATTAATATTTTATTTATATTAATTTAGTAAATAGCAATAATAATATTATTAATATTTTGATTTGAAACTTTTAATAATTCTAATATTCATAAATTATATATAGCTAATTATATTTGATAAAAGAAAATGAATTATGATATTGATTAATTGAAATAGTTATTATAATATTCTTGATTTGATTTTTTTGTATTATAATTTTTTAGATTTGAAAATTTATTTTTTCTTTTAATATTAGTAAATTTTTTGACTATAGTATAACTTATTTCTTTTTTATTATTACTTAATATATTATTAATACTTAAACTTATTGATTTAATTAAAGTATCTTCTTTATCTAACAAAGTATTAGTAATTATATTTGAACTAATATAAAAAGAAATATTATTAATTAATTATAAAATATGATATTATTTAATATAAAACTTCTTATTAAGAAACTTTAATCAAAATTCTCAAATATTACTTTATATTCAAGCTTTCAAATTTCACTTATAGATAATAGATAATAAATTAATATTTATAATTTTGAAATAATAAGATATTTTTATATATTTAATTATAAAAGATTTTAAATGTTTGATATCCATAATATTTATTACAAGAAGAATAATAAAACAAGATTTATTCTAATATAAAAATAAATATAAATAAAATAAAGTAATAATTTAAGTAAATAAATTATAATATATATAACTTTATATTTAGTATAACTTTATTTAGCTAAAGTTTAATTAGAAATTATTTAAAAATAAATAAAAATTAATAAGCTAAAAATAATTAAATTAAGATTTTTAATATAAAAAAATTTTTATATTAAAATTTTTAAAGAAATTATATTAATAATTTATTATTATAATCTGATATAAAAAGATTAATATATCAAATAAATATTAATAAATTATTTTTTCAAAAATAAAATTTTAATTTTGTCTTATTTAATTAAGTTATTAGATATTAGAATTTATTTGAATATAAAAATTTTTATTATATATCTTTTATAAAAA